ACCACGGGCTTGTATCGATCGGCGCCAGCAACTACTGTTTTATGTGCTAGTGAAAAAAGTACGGTAGCACGGGAGGCTAAGCACTGTCTGATTACCCTGTCTGGTATCCTTCCGTTCTTTTACTCTCTCCCGGAACAGTAGCGTCGGAACAGCAGCGTAGGTCGGTTGATAACAGTCTATGGCTGCGTTACTGTCTAGAGCATTGCACCCTAATGAATCCAAAAAAAAGCCATGAGAACTTACCTTACCTTATCAGGGAGTGAAAGTTCTCTACGCGTTGTTTCAGCTCGGAAGAAGGAATCGATCCAGAAAACCCAAGAATCAGTCAGAGCGAGGAAGCCTGCAGCCAGCAAACCTAAACCAGAACCCGCTAAAGTTGAAGATGATAAAACGCAAATAATCAACGGAGATGATAGTCTCGAGGTAGGATGTCAATGCGGGAGGCGAATGGCACGCCTACGTCTCGTTGTCTGACCACTCCCACGAGAAGGAAATTGAGAACACATTTAATCTAGGGCGTCGCAAAAGTACTATTTCCTATAGTTGACCAGGAGTGTCTACAATACGCTCCCCTTCCTTCCGCTTGACGCTGAAAATTCCACAATTCTGGGAAAAATTGGGGGGAGTAGAATAGGAAAGGGGTGGCTTTTGGCAAAAACTTTCCACAGTCTGATGACGCGCCCTGTTCGAGAAGCCGTGGCAAAACAAGACGAGGCATGACAGGCAGAACACAACATGATATGGCATAATCGCGCAGCCTCCCAGCACTTCTGATCTGCTTCAGCTCCCCTTTTCTATGGTAAGATGTGAAAGTGCGCAGCGAGGTTGCTCACCTGTACGCTAGTTCGCTGCAGTTGAAGGGGCGTAGCAGGATGAGTTTGGCCCTTTGTCAAATCCGCTGTCCACCATTTGTTGCAGCGAGCAACGTGGCAAGACTGTATCATTATCACGTTCCGTATCACTTGGTTTTTTACCATTTGTCGCATATCCGCTTCAACAACTGGCATAGAGCGAGTCTGACGCCGTGGCACAGTCAAACTCCCTGAAACGCCCTCATCTGTACCCAAATAGAGTATAGTTATTATTGCGACCGCTCCTGAAACTCGCGTGCTTTGAAATGGGCATTGATCCTGAATGCGTATGATCGATATTCATTTTCTTCGTTGGTGTAAGATGTCCAAAGCAATTGGAACAGAAATTGATAGAACAAATTTATGCACAGGCTATGAGCTCATATTTTTGAGCTTGCCCCAGTAATGTAGTGTGTGGAATGTAAAGAGTGTCCAAAATGTTGAAAAATACAGTATGGTTTGGTGCGCCATGCATCCGACTATATTTCTGATTAAGCGGTGCATTCAGCCCACGTAATGGGTTAGGGGACTTTGGGCGCAAATGTCGCACATATATACGATTCAGTCGGGTGCGGAGCCTTACTTCCAAGGCGCGGCATCGCGCATATGCTGTAACTCCCAGCTGGTTGATTTGATTGCATGGTCCTGTTGCGAAATCGAGAAACGCAGACAACTAGAGGACAGCGGCTGCCAAAGCATCGAAACGTTCAAAAACATGTGGCGAGCCAGGGAACGGGTTTTTTAGGGAGGGGACTCCGGGGTGGGTGAACCACTTATAATCCGTGAAAAGCTGGAATGTGCGAAGTCACAACAACCAGAGAGTGCCACGCGGACGAGAAAAACAGAAGATCGACGCGCTCAAAGGGATTAAGTTCAAGTTGTCCGTGGACCTGAGGCGCAAAGAGAGCTATTAGACTTGATAGACGCAGAAGCAAAGAGTGAAAGAGTCGACGCGCCGCAGCAGTGCTACGTTGCACTTACTGGGTCCTGTTGCGAATGCTGTTTACGTTAAACCGCGCCATTCTCATAAGCCGCCACCTGAAAATAACGCCCAGTCCCTAGAATGGTTCATTCCAAGTGGGAGGTGAATCAGTCCGCAACTGCAGTTGCGTGCCTCCTCCACTCAAATTGCACGGGAACGGGGGTAGAGGGTTACACTTGCTTCGTTACCGAAACACCGCCGCGAACATACACCCCGTCAGAGGAAACAACAACCAGAAGTGAGAGAGCTATGTAAGCAGCGCATACGGTTACAGTTACACACGTGGATGGCGGTACAGCGGGACGGGGGGGGGGCGGAGTCGTGAGACGGACACCCGGGTCATACCTTCCAACTCCGTTCCGCTTCTGAGCGAAGAACGAAGTGGCACGCTCCTGCTCGTGTGGACCCGTTCACCTCACTTAAGACCAGGACCAAGATTCACAGAAGTGGTATTTGTCCTTCACAAAAAGCTCCGATTTATGAAGATCGTAGATAATTCTTGCATTTATAGTTATCAAAGACGTTGACGGTGACGTTTCAATTTTCCACTTTTCAGATGTCACTTACCTCATCGACTAGGCAGGCAGAGGTGAAAAGCTCGCAAACAGCACGAAAGGTATCTGCTAAGAAGCAGGCTGAAAAGGGCGCCAAAAATACTAAGCCTTACACCGACAGACAGCTTAAAAACAAAGTGGAAAAGCTACACAAGTATGTTTCGTCACCCTTTCTTTTGTTAGAATAATATAGGAAAATGAGACAAACGATGCTAACTAAGTGGAACCTACTGCTTAGTCATGCTGTACCATGCATGCGACTCTACCAACTTCGTCAAGGTGGTGGATAGAGCACCAAGCTAGTGTAGCCAATACAAACCACGGGAGTCGATCTCGTAGCATGCACGGACCTCACGAGTAACTGGCGTTCCGGCTAAAGTGCCACCTCTGTTATTTTGCGAACAAATGGAACAATTTTCATTAATCACAGGTTCTTTCCCGCATAGATAGGATGATTTCTGGACAGTGATGTTTGAGCGCCTGATGTCGCCATGAGACCTCACTCCAATGGAATTACTGATCGGCCCACATACAGTCTTGTTCGCCGCGGACGCTCTGGGGCGTTCCATGAGGCTGGATTTTGCGCAGCGCCAACCCGTTCTTCACTAACTGTGGAACTGGCAGGCGACCACAGTTGGTGGAAAACTGACTGGTGCCGTCTCCAACCCAGGCCTCCTGAAACGCCCACCATCAGAATAAGC